TCTTTTTTGATCATTCTTGGTTTGAAGTTGAAATTGTCTGCAAACAGAATAGCTACCCCTGCTTTTTTCTGGGTTCCTGTTGAATGGAATATTGTTTTTCATCCTTTGACTTTCAGTCCATGAATTTCCTTTTGAGTTAAATGTGTTTCTTGTATACAGCATATTGTTAGATTTTCTTTCATCACCCACTCTGCCAGTCCATTTCTTTTGATTTGTGAATCGAGGCCATTTACATTAATGGTCATAACTGATATATATTGGCTTATCTTTGTCATGTTATTTTCCTGATGCTGGTTCCCTACTTTTCCCTCTGTTTAATTGCTTGCTCTGCTTGATGGTTCCTTTCTATTGTTGTTCTTGCAATTGTGGTCATTTCTATCTCTTTCTAGACTATCTTTTAGTACACTTTGTAGGGTTGATTTGGTGCTCATGAATTTTTCAGTTGTTTTTTGTAGTGGAAACACTTTATTTTCCCCATTAATTTTGAAGAATAGTTTTGCAGGGTATGTCAATCTGGGTTGGAAGTTCTTTTCTTTCAGCACCCAAAATACTTCACTTCAAGCTCTTCTTCACTCCAGGTTTATGTTGAGAAATCTGCTGTGATATTGATGGACTTTTCTTTATAGGTGATCTGTTTCTTTTTTCTAATAGCTTTTAAAATTCTGTTCTTTTGCTGAATTTCTGGTATCTTCATTATTATGTGTCTGGATGTAGATTTATTTTGGTTATGGCTAATTGAAGTTCTATATGCCTTGCTTTACTGTATACCAGATTACTTTTCCATGCTTGGGTAGTTTTCTGCTATTACATCTGCAAATAGTCTTTTTATGGCATTTGTGTTGACTTCTGCTGTTTCATTGACACCTACTAATCTTACATTGTTTTTCTTTGCATCATCTTGCAGCTGTTGAATTATTTCCTGGTTCCTTGTTATTTTTGAGAGATCTTTCCTTTTGTGATCATTAGCTACAATAGTGTCTTCAAGGTCTGAAAATGTATCTTCAGCTTCGTTCAAGTGGTTTTGCCAGCTTTTAGTGGAATTTTTAATTTCATGGGTATCTCTTTGAATCGGTTTCATGCATACTAATTCTTCCCTATAGTATTCATTGAAGGTTTCCATCATTTTTGTATGCTCCTCTATTTTTTATTTATGTCTTCTTTAGATATGCTGAGTAATTCTTTCATTATTGTTGTCATTTTTTTTTTTTTAACCTGAGAAATTATTTCTGATCTGATGTCTTCTATAGCCTGATGTAGTTGTTTCTTTACTTTAGTTGCTATCATTTCAGAAATATCAGGTGTGTGATTTCCAAGCTCTTCTCTGTCAGTGTCTCCTGAACTTGTTCTGGGTGAGCTTGCATCTGGGAGGCTGAGGCAGGAAGATTCCAAGTTCAAGCTCAGTGTGAGAAACTTAGCAATTTAGTGAGACCATGTCTCAAAATAAGAAGTAAAAAGGGATGGGCAGCCAGGTGTAGTGGTGCACATCTGTAATCCCAGGATGTGGGAGGTTAAAGCATGAGAATCACTGTGAGTTCGAGGACAGCCTAGGCTGCAAAGTGAGTTCATGGCCAATCTGAAGTGCACAGCAAAACCCTTTCTCATAAAGACCAAAAAACCAAAATGAATGGGTATATAGCTCAGGCACAGGCCTTGAGTTCAGTGCTCAGTACCACAATCAATCAGTTAGTCAATCAGTCAATCTTAAAAATTGGTCACCAGCCTCTACCAGTGCTTATATTTAACTTGCAAAATTACTCTTGATAGTATGGTTTTATTTGATTCTCAAAGAAGCCACATGACACATGGCAGCCCTTGATTTTTGCCTTCATAGGGAAGTGGGTGTGTTGTGTTTGTGAGTCAGGTGGGCTTTTGTTCTTCTCTGTAGTACTTCATTTCAGACATAGGTGTTCACGACTTAAAGCCTCCAGAAGTCATGACCTATCTGTTTGGTAATTACTTTCATTTAATTATTTTGTACAGTAACTATTTTAGAATAATGACTTTCAAGGTCTTGTCTCCATTAGGGCCTCCAAAATAATTTTCCTCATGCCCCAGTGATGACATAGACTGGCTGTAAGTGAAGCTTTAGAGGCACAGTGGCTTTATGTAAAGTATTCTACATATTTTTCACAGTAGGAGTGTGTATCTTTTCACCCAGCCATGCTGTCCACTATCTTGGATTTCATATGCAAAGGGAAGCATGCTAAGATAATAGCTATCCAGAGGCCCTAGCATCTCTGACAACATTTGAAGTCTCATAATTTTCAGAGCTAGTTAACATATTAATACAACCTCGGGCATTTAGGAGGCACTGAAGTGTTGCAGGTTAAACAATTAATCACTGGGAGAAAACAGTGGCGCTTTTACCTGGAGTGTGGAGAGAGCATTGCTGCATGCCTGCTAGATGGCTCTTATGAGAAAGGCTGTGATTTTTTTATTGTTTTTATTTCATTTAAAAAGTCATGAATCTATGTCTGTGATACATAGTAAATACATCCTGATAAATTGATGCATACACAATGTGACATGGATCCTTTTTTATTTCTCTTTCCCCTTCTTTCCCTCCCATCTCTCTCGATCCCCTGATGGCTTCACTATTTCTGTAAAATTTTTCCCTCTGTTTCCTATTATCTATCTTTTATTAAAATAGATAACTTCTAGCCAGGCATGGTGGTGCACACTTGTCATCCAAAAGGCTGAGGGAGGCTGGGAATGAGGATTGCAAGTTTGAGTCCAGCTAATGCTCAAACTTAGTGAGCAACTAAGAGAGATCTTGTCTGAAAATAAAAACTAAAAAGGGCTAGGGGTGTAGCTCAGAATGAAGGCTCTGGGTTCAGTCCCCAGTAGGGCACACAAATAAGTGACTTCTCCAGTGGTGTTTAGAACAAGCATTTCACGTTCTCATTTCCATTAGTGGTGTGCATGAATCTGACCCCATTTCACTGTGGCAGGAAGGAGTCGAGGGAAATTGGCCAGAATAAAACCTGGCTCCAGGGCTGTGAAGAGAGAAGAGAGGGTGAGGTTGGGTGGTTTGTTAGGTGCCAATGTCAGCTGGGCTGACAGTCTTCTTGGAAGATACTCATTGCTGTCATTGCTACTTGGTTTGGAGACCCCCAGAAAGATTCCCATGTTCAACTGCTCTCAGGGTGAACTGTACAAGCTCTTTTGAGGTGCTCACTCACTTCATCCAACTGAGATGTGGATCATAGCACACATTCCAGGTTGTTGATCACATGAGGGTGATTCAGGACATTGTGGCAGTGACCTCCCAGTATCTGACATGCAACAGACTTTGAAAATGAAGCTTTCTGTTTTAATTTTTATGCCTTATTTTAAGATAGCACACTACGGCTTTCCGTGTTGCTTTCTTTCTGGTCTCGCTCTAACTAGTGCTTGGATCATGCTTGGGCTGTTGAGAGGCACAGTGAAGAGGTGTCCCCTTGGGAAGAGAGGAGGTTCAAAAGCCACTGAGCTTGGGCAGGGTAGGCAGTTAGAGGGCCCTGCGTGGTGCACCTCTGATTACATTGCAGCATCCTTAGAAGCCCTAGAGCAGCACTTCCTCCAGAAAGACCCCGGGAGGCATGAGCAGCAATCACCAGGTCAATAAAACTGCATCTACAACTTAGTCATCATGCAAACAGCTGTTACAGGAAAGACATGGCTTTTCTCCGTGCCTTTCAGATATGCAACACTTCCATGGATGTATCTGATGTCCGGAGTCTTCTCCAGTTCGGACGTGGCTTTCATCTCCTACATCTCCTTGAACTTCATCTTTGGCCTCTGCACCATGCTGATGACGACCATGCCCCGGCTCCTGGCCATCATCTCCAAAGCCCAGGTCAGTTGCCCACAGCGACACTCTCCCTGCTTCAAAGGCATGAGGAACAAGGACTGGAGGTACTGGCCGTGTCATTGCTTTTCCAACTGCAAATCCGTGGAAATGTGCCAGCGTCCAGAAACAGCAAGCGATTCTAATTAACAAACCATCTGAGGCATTGTAAGAGCCATGCTTACATGCAGTGACAGTTCACAGAAAGACGTGCGGTGGCTGCTGCTTCATGAGCCAGGACAGTGTCACGAAGGTGTTCACAGTCACATCCCGCATCTTCCCCAGGGACAGCTTGATGATGTGATGGCAGGGGAGAGAATGCAATGAAAAGTGTCTCATCCAAGTGCCCCCAACTTGTTGGACACTAGTGGGCTGGACGGGTCACAGTCTGTGTCCTAGAGGAAAATTGGTGATCCTGTTCTCTTTCCTGGGGTCCCCAGGGCTAACTTTATTTTAGTAGTTTCCAAGTGTCAGAGCAAAGGACTGTCCTGAGCATGGGGTGTGAGGTCAGGGAGCGTTTTCCTTGTGTCCCCTGGACCATCTTCACTAGCAGGTCACTTTGGAAACCATCCCTACTCAGCCTCTGCTTTCAGTCAGCCCTTGACACCTGCTAGGCAGCTGAGCGAGGAGACTCTGGATGCTCCTCAGCCCTCCCCATTCCTTCCTCCCCTCTAACCAGACTGCTCTGTCAGGACTCACTGCTGTTCACACGTGTTTAGATCACTCATGTGCCCAGGCATTTGGCTGATGGAGGGTCAAGAAAGTTTCTGGGGGAAGGGCAGGTGCCCAGGTGCTTGGTTGAGAATGTAACAGAAGATACCCGCCTCCCCACCCCAGCCAGTATATTTCACTTG